GCAGATAGTACAGGCATATGCAGTGCAAATAACAACTCACCCAGAAGTTTGCTTGTGTCTCTAGCATGCGGTTAGTTTTTGACTTTTTTCTTGTTCTCCGTCTGTATTATTTGCGATTCATTCCAAATGAGCACCGGGCGTGCTGAATATCAAGGCGGATATGTCTGGCCGTCGAGCCGTGTTGTGACCGTGACCACCACCATCCTCGTAGGCCGGGTAACCGTGGTGACGTATTCCTGACGTGCGCGCCCGTCAAGCAATATTCCCGGCTCCGACTGTGATTCTGCCACACGTTGAGCGGGTACCGGACCGCACCGGACCGGAGCTAAACATCAGGGCCCAGTTCTTTATCGGCCTTTTGGCCGATCCCCGCCCATTCAGGTAGCAACCTATGGCGTTATGGATGTACACCGCTGAAGGACGCCTTTTATTCCAAACATGGGAAAAGAGTAGATTCAGCTGGTTCTAGCCTGTGGAGACGAACAGCGCACGGAAATGGAGCACTTGAATATGATTCTGCCGAACAGTTATTGGGAAATTCTGTGGCTAAAACATCGTCGAAAAAACATTGTCGAAAATATGTCCACATGTGAACGAGACCAAACCAATTGCGTGGCATGCAGGACGACCAACTGCGTCACTATGTAAACAGCGAGGTCGTAGATGTAAACAATAACACCTACGGCCTAGTTAGGAATGGAACCGGACCGTGACAACGTCGAACAGGCTTCCTCCAAGTAGGGAACGGGCTGCCTTGTGCTAACGAGCAACGGGCCTCACACGAGCTGCGCGCACCTCGACCCGTCCGCTGCGCCAGCTGACTGGCCAAGCAGTCGACTTTCTCCCGTGACGTCGGCGGCCGGACCGTCAGTCGGTGTCGGCCTGTCTCCGCGGGCGGGAGCGGTGCGGCTGTGCGTGTCCGCGTGTCTCCTCCCCGGCCGTCTCCCGAGATTGGGTCAGGCCGGACGCGGCTCCGCGGAAGCCGCCGGTGCTGGTGCACGCGCGTGTCAGCGGCCGCGTGTTGTGCGGCGTTCCGGTCCTGTCGGTGGCAGCGGCCGCGTGTTGTGCAGTGTTCCGGTCCTGTCGGTGGCAGCGGCCGGTCCGGCTCGGTGCCCCTGCACCGCCCAGCGGCGGAGACGGTGCACTGTGTACTGTGACGGTGCCGGGGGTGGTGCCGTGCGCCGCGCGCCGCGCTGCCGATGGGCGGCGCGCCCCAGCTAGTCAGCGACCATGGCGGATGAAGAGAGCGACACGGGCCGCGGCCGCTACCGGTACGTGACCGGGCCAGGGCGAGGCTGGGGGGCTGGGGACAGCCTCAGGGGTCCTCACTGTACCGGTACGTGACCGGGCCAGGCGAGGCTGGGGGGCTGGGGACAGCCTCAGAGGTCCTCACTGTACCGGTACGTGACCGGGCCAGGCGAGGCTGGGGGGCTGGGGACAGCCTCAGAGGTCCTCACTGTACCGGTACGTGACCGGGCCAGGCGAGGCTGGGGCGCTGGAGGACAGCCTCAGGGGTCCTCACGTTACCGGTACGTGACCGGGCCAGGCGAGGCTGGTGGGCTGGGGACAGCCTCAGGGGTCCTCACGTTACCGGTCTGTCACAGCCGGGCGAGGCTGGGGGGCTGGGGCAAGCCTCAGAGGTCCTCACTGTACCGGTACGTGACCGAGCCAGGCGAGGCGGGGCGCGAGGGCTAAGGGGACCCGGTTCTCGGCTCTGGCTCGGAGACTTTCACGGGCAGGATATCAGAGCGGCATCCGGTCGCTTTCCGTCGCACGGCGTCACTATCGCCCGACTGCCGTTCTCGTGTAAGGCGCACTCGCTCGATGACCATGTGCTCAAATTAACTTTCGCCCCAACTATAGAGGGCTGGTAGAGTTGAGCTGGTAATGTTCCACATCGGACATGAACTTTTTTCATAGCTTTTTTTCCATAGCGCAGTGCCGGCACCTGACACTGGATGAGTGCTGGTGGCACCGGGCGGGTGTCTGAGCTGGTGCTTGGCAGTAACCATGGCATTCGTCGCCTCCTCGAGACGCTGGGGTAGCGCATCTCTGACGTGATCTACCTCGAATGCTGTAGGATGCATGCAGGCGTATGAGTGCTGCCTAGGGTTCGTTAAGCCGCAGTTCTCCTCAAATGGCTTCAGCTTTGTGTCACTGTAAACGGTTGGCTTCGGCTTTGGTTCGTTGTGATTTGTAATGGCCGGGTATCGCTGAGGTTTCGGATGATTTTTTAGTTATGACTCCGACTTTGGCTTTGTGCGATATTGAACTGCTGGCTTGACTTTGTCGTGGCGATTGCTTCACTACAGCTGCGACGTAACTAAAAAAACTGTGCCCATCTTGTGAACCCAGGATGCCACACAAGTGTTCGAGGTTGCAACGCGGACATGGCTGAAAGGTCGAAACCAGCCAGTCATTCTCAGAAAGAACCTGAAGCCACTTTATGACGGCCAGAGGACTGTCTGTCCGAAACGTTCTGCGCACACTCACACAAGACGAGTTAGAGAGATGAGAGGTGAGACACTCACGGGAGTGCGACAGTCCAAAAACAGCCTTACATTTGTAATGCATCTAGGTGGTGAGATTCATCACTTTCGTGTCACTTTGTCACTTCTATGTGAAGATTTATCACTTCCGATTAGTTGCAGTCGCTTCGCAGGACCGTGACAATCTGTTTTATCCCGCTGTTTTAGCATTGGCTTCGCAGAACAACGTTATTCACTGGCTTCGACTTCGGCTTCGAACTGATGGTTTCAGCTTTGGCTTCGCATTTCCTGTCTTGGAAGCCGCTGACTTGAGCTTCAGCTTCGCATGCGTCAAGCCAGCCATAGCTTCGGGTTTGGCACACTTAAGAAATGCGACAACCGCTGGTTTGGGCTTCGGCTTCACAGTTCCAAACTTCGAAACCACCGCGGCTCCGTGCATTTGTCTTCGTTTCGGATTCAGCCCCGAGGCCAGAAGCCTTGCTTTGTCCCCATGCCTATTTGTATGGGCCGATAGTACAGTCTGCATTGTGGGAAAGCCAAAGAGTGGTTGAGACTCGGAGCCTCTAATCGGTTTATGAAATGGTCCTTGAATACTCTGGGTCGTGGCGCGGTGCGGAGCGGGCCGCCGCCGCCGCGCCGCGCTGGTTTTCGGTCCCCGGACGCGCTGAACCCGGTGCGGTGCGGAGCGGGCCCGCCGCGCCCCGCGCTGGTTTTCGGTCCCCGGACGCGCTGAACCCGGTGTGGTGCGGAGCGGGCCCGCCGCGCCCCGCGCTGGTTTTCGGTCCCCGGACGCGCTGAACCCGGTGTGGTGTGGAGCGGGCCCGCCGCACCGTCCGGCTGGGTGTGTGACGCCAGGCGGCAGCAGATCAGGGCTGCCCTCCGGGCGTGCACCTGCTCTCTAATCGCCAGGTCGATTGTCGGCCATCGATAAAGCGGCGCGAGACCGGCTGCCGGACGGGTGCCGGTGGCACGGGAGGCCGGCTGCCGTCACGTGTGTGCTCGGTACGGAGGCTGGGTGGTGCTTCCGTGGACACGGCCCGCGGCCGGGCGCAGAAAAACAAAGCCTGCGGCGTACGCACAAGTGACAGGGCATGTCGCAAGGACGGACGGGAAGGCTATCCCGCGTAAGCTCTTCGTCCTATAGCACAACAACGGATAAGTAGGTGACAGATGGAAGAGAAGCTGCATATATTAGGCAGTTCGGATTAAAGGGGTCCAGATGAGACCAGCCGGGACTCTTTGTGCCATTTGCATACGGAAGGTCATATTGCCTCTCCCCCATGACTTTTTACGTTTATTGTAGATCATTGATGCCTTGCAGCCTAAAGCCATGGGAACTTGTGATGCGAGTGTATCTAAAAGTCAGTGGGACATAACCCGTTGAAATTTGAGCCCCCAACATCATTCAGAGGCGACTCTGAGGCCAGGTTTTAGAAGCGTGTCAGGATGGATCATGAGGTGTTTAACTGGACTGTGCCGTCATTATTTCCTTGAGGAAAGCTGACCGATATTTCGCTACAGTTGGTTGAAGCACAGTTTTTGTATCAAGGCTGGTCACCAGTAGATGGTATGATGCACGCGAACTACCAGGAGCGGTGGAGGGGTGTGATGTTTGCTACCAGGGCGTCCGTCTTGGTCAGCCTCAGGCATCTCGTTATCACACTAGCGCGTCGTTTTGCCCTCGTTTTGTTCGGCTTTCATCCCTCTCGCGCCGACGGAGCGGATAGAGGCCCCGGGAACGGCGGCGCCATGGTCGCACATACCCTGCACGTGCCGTTGCCGGCTGCCTTGCTCTCGCGTCGATGGCTCCGGGACGCGCCGTCGGCGAGCGTCCGCCCGCACGGACGCCTGCGGACCATCTTGTTCCTCGGGTCGGTCACGTCCGAAGGCGTCTGCGTGACGCGTGCCTCGAGAGTCCGACTGTTTAGCGCCATCGTCGGCTTCATCTCGCTGCCGCTCTCCTTTAGTTCGGGTGAAGAACTGGTGACGCGGCACCAGCTGATGTTGGGCGACACCTTCCGTTGTCTCAAGCAGGCGTCAGTTCGACCGGCGCAGACCTGGAGTCGCTAGCTGCAGCCGTCGATGGTGCGGCCGTTTGCCAGCAGGTTAACACCGTCTGCAGAGAAGGATCATTCTTCGTCTGAGGGCATACCATCGTAGATGTCGTTTCTGTAGATCAGCCAGGGCAGGGTTGGAGCACATCCCCCGGTGAGGCTCCTTCTGGAACGTCATGGGATCAAAAAGAACTTTCACCTGCGCCCACCTGACCTGACCGGGAACGGTCGGTGAAGAAGGCCTACATGAACAACGCATCCTGGAATTTCGAGTCGGCCCACCTTGGTATGGGATTTTTTGTCTGTGCTACGACGTCGATTGCGGTGTCCCGTATACCGCCCCATCAACGTGAACTGCGGCTGGCCTCTGTCTAAAAGACATTACGCGTTCAAAGAAGTTACGTCTGCTGCGGGACTGTCTGCCGGCTCCAGACTGAGCTCGGCGCAGTGTTCTCAGGATCCGTCTTCCCAAGGAGCAGACCTCGGCGGACAACTTCAGCGTTTGGTCGGTGCTGAAGAGCGCCATCGGCAAGGAGCTGACCAAGATCTCGATGCCGGTGGTGTTCAACGAGCCGCTCAGCTTCCTGCAGCGCATGACGGAGTACATGGAGTACTCGCACCTGCTGCAGGCCGCCGCCCAGGAGCAGGACAGCATCACCAGGATGCAGGTCAGGTCTCGGCCGCCGCCGGCAGCGACGCGACTGGAGGGCTGGCGGGACAGCAGTGCAGACGTACATTCACCCGGCGTTTGGGCCGTCGCAAGCCTCTATCGCCATGCTGTATATGAAAAGGGGGTTACTTTGTGTATCGTTGCATGCGTCAGCTGTCGTTTACACGTGCGCAAAATGACCATTGCAGTCGGCGCGTCCTAGAACACTAATATACACCAACAGCTGTTGTCTATCCGTTCCTGCCTTTACCAAAATGACCAAATGACATGGCTGTTGGTATGCCGGCGCCGGCGTGTAATGTCTTGTTATTCCCTCGTGGAATATATATTACCTGACGTATGAGTGCCAGTCTGATCGGTACACCGGTGGGTCAAATAACCTGCCAGCTGCCGGACTTGTCCTCCGTATTCGTCGATGGGTGTGCAAAGTGTAATGCGACCGAATTATCCCATGTTACGTTGAGCGGTTCGAGGCTGGCCTCTGCTGGGGAGATGCAGGCGGTGTGATGAACGACATTGCTCAATATACGGGTTTTGCTGGTGTCTTGCGCAGCCTGTGTGGGTGCCGTCAGCGGTCAGGGTGTCCCGTTCGTTGTCCCATCGGACGCTGCCATTTGACCCTCCGCCGTTCGCGCGCGGTCTCCATTGATATGAGTGTCTGCTCTCCAGTATGTGGCCGCCTTCGCCGTGAGCGGTCTGGCCTCCAACTGGGAGCGGGTGGGTAAGCCGTTCAACCCGCTGCTGGGCGAGACGTTTGAGCTGCACAGAAGTGGCTTCAGGTATGTGGGCATGTGCAAATCAAATTGCACTCGCCTCCGCCCGTTCCGTTCCGTCCCGTTCCATTCCGTCCCGGCCCGTCGTGGCCCGACCCACCCTGGTCTCGCTCAGTAAATACTGTGGTTAATAACGTCTCGTATAAATAAGGACCCTTAACATTAAATAGTAAGTGTGTACGCGTTTGGAGCACAACTGTTGTCATTTAGAGTAAGTGTCGCCAATAGTGTCGATAAAAGTTATGTCGTGAATAGATAAAAACTGAGTTTTGTAGGAGAAGTAATGGCGGGTGTAAGTTATTGAAGTATGACTTCTCATGTAGCACTGATGTTCTGTAAAAATCTGCAGTAAAAGTAATATTGCGTGTAAGTAAAGACGGCAAAAGTATTTGCTGTGGAAGTAATGGCAGGTATACGTACTTTAGCGTAAGTTTTTCCGTGCGGCACTTTTGTCACGTTGAAGTCTGCAGTTGAAGTAATGCCGGGTGTAAGTAAATTTGAAGTATAGCTTTTCATGCTGCTCTAATGTCGCGTGTAAGCAGTAACAGCAGAAGTATTGTCGAATCACTTTTGTCGGTTGGAGTTTTTGCCGTGGCACTCATGTCGCAGAACCGATATATTTTTAGTTTGCTTATACCGACAATGTATGCCGCGTGTTGCCCTGGCCTGGACCACCCGTCTGCCGTTCCTGTCAGGATGTGGTGTGAGCGCGTGTCGCACCACCCGCCCCTGCCGGTCGGGGCGCCACTGTCCCGGCCTCGGCTCCGTCATGACCCGCGGTGTACGGCCTCCCGCAGGATGGTCTGTGAGCAGGTGTCTCACCACCCGCCGGTCTCAGCGTTCCACGCCGAAGGCGACGCGTTCCGTTTTCACGGCTCGATCCAGCCCAAGCTCAAGTTCTGGGGCCGCTCAGTGGAGATCGAGCCGCGCGGCCTGCTGACCGTCGAGCTGCCCGGGTCAGTGCCGACACGGCCTTGCCGCCTGGGGCCGCTGCCGGCCGAGAAGGCGGGCGACATCCGGGCTGGCCACTCGGGCCTCGTGCTGCCATGACACAGTGACACATTGATCGTTGATGGCTCGTTTGCCGACGCTCGTGACTCGTAAGGTCAGGAGCGTTGGAGCGGGAGAGGGGAGGGGGTTGTCCGTGTCCGACAGACTGAGCGCTTCCGGGAGGCTTTCGTGGCATCGTCACTCAAACAGATGATTCACGCAGCTAAAATTACCAGTAAAACCCAAAGACCCGTGGATCATGAACCCAACACTTAAACCAAGTGGCTACCTACGGTGGTGAGACATGGGGTGCTCTGAGGCGTAATGGTCCGCGAGTGAGGCTCAGGGGCGGTGCGATGCTGGTTAGATACACGCCGTCACCTCCGCTGGATTCTTCAAGAGGCCATTGGCTGCCTGTTTTGTGGCGGAGCCTGGCCGGAACGGGAGCACTGTGTCGTGAGCGGCGCCACGTCTCCGCTTGTAGTCACGACATCCTCAGCAGTCTTAGGTGCTGGAAACGGAAGATGCTTGTTTTGCCCCGCTATAGTACGGCTGCGTTGCGCGGTGCCACCGGGTGCTGCTCCGCTCGGACAGGCTGCCTCCCAGCTTGCCGAGTTTTGGCCGCGCTCCAGGTGCGCCGGGAGGCGGTCGATTTCAGTGTGGGTTTGTGGGGCGGCCCGGCCCGAAGGATGGCAGGCGGCCTCCGCCACGCACCGGGGCGGCCCTATTGATCGGCCCGACCCAGCCCGGCTCGCCCGCACCTCGTCAGCTCTGAGATGGGACGCACCGGAGAGACGAAACACCAGCCGAGCGGGGCCCGGCACCCGGAGCTGCTCCGGCCGTCTGCCGCCGAGCGGGCCGGCATCCGGAGCTGCTCCGGCCGTCTGCCAGCTCTTAGCCCATGTGGCGTCAGTGAGAGCCATCCAGCCCGTGTGGAGCCGCCGATTCGTGTTTGATTTGTTTTTTGTTTTGTTTTTTTAGTCGTGTGTTCTGTTTGTCCTCGACAAAGCACATCATGCGAATAATCGGCAACGGGCGGTATTTTCCACTCCCCTGGAGTGTCGGAGGGGTGGTGCAGTACAGGCTGGCAGGTGTGAGGCCGTGTCCCGGCCATCCCCGCAGCGATTCCGTGGCCGTGTGCTCGCTGCTGACTGTGTTCTGAGCGCCGAGCCGCGCTGGCGCCGACTCACTCCCCCTCCCGCTCGCAGCCACGACGAGGCCTACACCTGGAGCAACGTCAACTGCTGCGTGCACAACATCATCGTGGGGAAGCTGTGGATCGAGCAGTACGGCACCATGGAGATCACCAACCACCGCACCGGTACGATCTGGTCCGAGGGGCTGCACGTGCCGCCAGCGGCTGGGGCAGGGGTCGAGGGCCCTCGAGATCAGACGGGAGGAGACGGAGCGTTAGTGGCACAGGTGGAGTCATTGTCCGCACGATTGTCCTTGTCTGGTGTATTGATGTGCACACAACGGTTCGGCCATGGGCGATGCATGACCTACAGCAGTCGATGCGCCCTAAACCCCCAAATCATCATCATCAACGGTTCGGCCAGTTGACTCGCCGGCCCTCCACGGATGTTTGGAGTCCTGAGAGGGGCTGGGTGATGTGTGGCATTCAGCCATGTATGCGCCGCGACTCGAAATCTCACCTTGACATCGCTGGAATTCGAACTCTGGTCTTCTGATTGTAAGTACAATGCTCTACCAACCGAGCCAACCGAGAAGGGCGAAGGAACGCAGACGCACGGAGCTGACGACAAACACCATCCAGTCCTTAGTGCCTGCACACCGCCCGGCTGTCGTTCTGGCCTGGTGTGTTGGTACGAACACGGCTGTGTACGTACTGACACACCGGGCCAGAACGATAGTCCGAACAATGACTCCATCCGCAACCTGAACAGTTATTCCATGCGTGGATCCGGCTGTATTGCCGTTTATGGTCGTGTTCATTATGGACGCATGGGACTGTAAATTGTCTGGATAATGGGTTGCTCAAAATATGATGGATAATAGCAATTGCCCCGATGGATGGTATGTTTTGACTGGTTAATGAAGACGTACCTTACAAGAAGTGCTGCGTATGTGAGCGCTGTTACGAGACTTACTTATTCGTCAGTGGTTAGGAACTATTTGTTTCAATTGAGCCATGCTGATTATACACCGTTCAAATCGTGGTTCATTTTGATTCACCCGGATTCATGGGTTTGTCTTTTCTATGAGTCAGTGAAAAGGGGCCCAGTGAAGACCATTATCAAGGTACGACTCCGACCTGGCCAGCTTGTGCTAACCCTTTGGACTGTCCGGCTTCATTCGCATTTAGTGGTAGTAAAAAGCCAAACGTAGCGTACCTTAAACTTGAATCCGCTGGGACGTCTTGATCATTGGAAACTTTGGTATCACACTGCAGCTGAGAAATTAACCGCCGCGGCACAAGCTCAGCCGAGGCAGGAACTTGCTCCATAAATGAAATCAATAAAGCCGGGGGTGGGGGCTTGGCACGTATCCCCAAATGTTTCAACATCGCGCCTGATTTCGCGGGACGAATGGACTTTCTGTGCTTGTCTGGAAATGGTTCGGTGGAGAATGATTCAGATGAGGCATTAGTATTACGCATGGAATAGGTTTTCGGACCGTGTTGCTGGTGTGGGGCGTTAGTATGCAAACAACGTCTTGGCCGGTGTTATTCTCCCGCCGTCGCCCGGTGTTATTCGAGCCCTCTGAAGAGCGGGATGCTGTTTGGCTCTCAGCCATACTCGCATGCGAACCCGAGTGTTCTCCTGCGAGTTGCTGGGATTCAAGGCAGGGCCATCCACCTTAGCTACAGCGTTCGACCTCAATCGTCTTCATACTCGATGCCATCCAACCTCAGCATTCGACCTACTTGCATGACCATTCGAGTGTTTCTTGAGTGCTGGATTCAAGCAGAGGACCATCCACCTGATTCCAGGTTCGACCTCAAGGCATATGTGTCCTTCCCCGTAGTTCGGTGGTGAGCGCTCGACTGGTAATCACTAAACCGGTCGAATTGACCAGCAATACCACGCGACGGAATTCGCTGTTTATGGCACGTCGTAAAGGTGAAGCTCAAAGTGAAACACTGATCCTCATTCTTTTTTATGACTCAAGAAAAACTGGCGAACGCGCGGACCGAAGAACGAACTGGCCGTGGCGTTCTACGTTATTTCTTTATTGTTTGTTAGAGGACGTTATTTTGACAATAATCCACCATCAGTACCAGAATGTAATGGTCAAACAACTAATCAAGGATGGATTGCCTATATTTACATAAATCGTCGTTTGGAAGACACATGATGACAACGGAGCACATGGTGACAACGGAGCGTAGCTAAGAGACGTCGAGTTTTGCCAATGCAGCCAATACCTCCTTGATAACGTCGTTAAACTAATACCTCATGACATAAAAATCCGGTTAGCTGATATCCCCAATTTCATGCCCGAAACATTGTGTGCGTGCTGGCACAGAAGACGACGGCGATAGACTGATCATTTTGTTCCATCCGTGAACGAATATCAGTTCCACACCGTGTTAGACCCCAGCTGGGTAGACCGTATGGGCTCCGGGCTGATTCCGGCCCTGCGTTGGGCTGGGTTCGGCATTGTTGGACATCCATTGGGGATGTTTGTGCACGTGCCGGGCCGTGACCTTGGTTTTCGCGAGCAATTTTCCAGCTTTCGCGTGCACGGAGCCCTGTTCTAACAGCTGCAAGCGTGCATGACCTGCGGTTCTCAGTTGATGCCGTTCACGTTCGAACTGGTGTCATGTTATGCACAAGTTGCGTATATTTTTCAAAGGCATGGACCTTGCTTATCGTTTTACAACAACCAAGTGATTTGGCTCCAGCAATGGCGTGTGCCTGCAATTACAGCTAACGGGTCGCAACCAAATGAACCAGTCCAGGTCATCGGGCTTAATCACCTACTTCGCTTTGAAGTCCCGCTGACCATTTGTCGAGTTGATGCGATTGGTATGCGTATATGGTACCTTTGGCGCGATTGGTACGCTTATATTGCGATGGCGATTGCGCTTGGTATGCGATTGGTACGCTTTGGCGCTGTCATCAGCGGCTTGACTTTGGAGCGACGAACTTTTTCCCAACACATGGGCTGCGATGCAAATGGAACAGCATAAGCCATCCGGTGTGGGGTCAGATAGCGCGCGCAGTATCCGGCCGTGTACCGCATATAGCTTGTCAGTCGGCCCTCCGGCCGGGCTTGATCCGGCCCATCCCGGGCATTGATGATAAGTAGCTACAGTCATTGGAGTGTAGGTGGTCACTGCCGAGGGAGGCTTGAAGCGGATGCAATGCACAACACGCGCGCCCACGCACACACACACACGAGCACGCACGCACACAGGCACGCGCACACACACGAGCACGCATGCACGGGCACACTTGCACGCACGCAATCACGCATGTATTTATGTGCTATAAATATGACCTTGTATACAGCGGTCCAAAGGTGCTTAAAAATTCAATTGAGCGTAAGTCTCTCGTGCCTGGGTGGTTGTAGGGCAGTGTTAGTCACATCATATAAAAGCGTGGAAACTTTACTTTGAAATGAGCGTAGCTGCGGTTTCTGTGATGAATGTGGTTACCATAGCTTGTGAAGTTGTTGAATTTTCGCGCGAAACACAAGTGCCGTAGTGAGTGGTAGCAATTCGGCACCGCTTCGCGTCAAGTCATATAGAACAAAGAAGGCATGCTGAAAAGCACAACTCGCGAAGCCAGCCACGCCCACCATTCAGTTACTGAAACTCGCTTCGATGCAGGCTCATAACGGGGACCGCGACTGGCGATGGATGCCTCACAATAGAACTGCCTCATTCGCCTTCGTCGAGGGCGGGAGCAGGCATTCCCAATCTTGCGACGGTGTTCACCACCGGCGTCGACTTTTTTTTACTGATTCTGTACACCTTGCCTTTCCGACGTTTTGCGTATTCTTCTTGTTGCCCACTTCCTTCCAAGGCGCAGTTGCTGGAAGAGTCTCAAATCACCCTCACATATTCGCGGACGTGGTCTATTGTCTTATGGCGCAGAAGTGAACGCCAGCAAAATCTCAGAGGAGTGGCAGATTCATTACGATGGGACCGTCATCTCGGCTTTCCGGCACTCTCCAAAATATTGACAGGAGTTCGACGTGTACCGAGATGGTCCACGTTTCTGTGAGGTTTGAATCCTGGGCACACCGAGCTACGTGACCTTTCATCGATAAGTAGCGTGTTACGCGGGATGTTAACATCGTTTCGCATGGGCAGATCTGGCAACTGTATTTACGTGTGTGGTGACCGGACACTACCATCATGGGGTAAAGGATTTCCCATGCTTTCCAGAGACAATATTTCAATTGTCTTACATCCACCCGATCGTGACTTGTTTGGCTTTTTAGTTAGCGTTGACACTTTCCTATCAGCCCTCATATTGGTCACGTCTTGCATGATTTAGCTAATGGATTGACTATCGAAGCAGGACGCTCCATTATGATCATGCTTGTCGTCTATGACAGGCTTCGTCCACGGCGTTCGGAGGCGTATTTTTACAGCTGATCACGTCAGCGGGGAGTGGTTTGTCAGCAGGGATCGCGAGCAGTGCCGTCCACCTCGCGGCTGGAGACAGCCGAGCCGTCGCTCGATGGCGTGCAGGTGCCGGGACCGGGCGCTGTTTGGGGCGCTATCGCAGCTGCTCCGGCCCGCCACGTGCAGTGGTGGGCACGCCGCTGTTGGCGGCCGGGTTATTACAGCGCCTGGATAACCCGGATACAGTCAATATCGATGGCGAGTCGGGAAGTACACGGCCACTTCGTATCGATGCGGATGTATTTCCGTGTGCCCGTAATAGGTTCCATTGTGGGCACGTGACAGTTGTCCACCGTCATAGCCCCTGCGTGACGTTCTTTCGAATGGGGCCGGTTTCCTCTTTTTGTTCGGCACTTGGGCTTGTGCCTCCGTGGCAGTTGTCTGCCCCTGTAGTGCGCAGAAGCCAGTGAACCACTTGAATCAATGAAGCCATTGAGCTGCTTAAGTATTTATCGTGCTGGTGCGCTGGGTCCGCTCGCCGTCTCGCAGTGCGCGAGCTGCCTGCCCTCAAAGCCGCTTCCGTGTGCGCCGCCGGTCCAGGCTTCTGAGACGGACAGTGGGTGGGTCGGTGGCGGGCGCTTGGCACCCAGCTGTCCCACATGCGGACCATGCGGAATTTGGTCATCGAGCGGCGGGCCGGCCTGGTGCGCCTGACGTCACGGCGCGGCGGCAGGACGGGCCAGCGGCGCGCGAGCCGGCTCTGTCGGCCGTCGTCGCACGGTCGATCGTAATCACTGCCCGGCCCGTGGCGAACGGTGAGCGCCGGCCGGCTCCGGTCATACGACAGCGGCCGCGGCCGCTCACCGCCGGCAGACGCTGTCAACGGTGAGCGCCGGCCGGCTCCGGTCGTACGACGGTGGCCGCGGCCGCTCACCGCCGGCAGCTGCTGCCACCGGTGAGCGCCGGCCGGCTCCGGTCATACGACAGCGCCGTGGCCGCTCACCGCCGGCAGCCGCTGCCAACGGTGAGCGCCGGCCGGCTCCGGTCATACGACAGCGCCGTGGCCGCTCACCGCCGGCAGCTGCTGCCAACGGTGAGCGCCGGCCGGCTCCGGTCATACGACAGCGGCCGCGGCCGCTCACCGCCGGCAGCTGCTGCCAACGGTGAGCGCTGGCCGGCTCCGGTCGTACGACAGCGGCCGCGGCCGCTCACCGCCGGCAGCTGCTGCCAACGGTGAGCGCTGGCCGGCTCCGGTCGTACGACGGTGGCCGCGGCCGCTCACCGCCGGCAGCTGCTGCCAGCTGCGATCCGTTCGGGTCATGTCGCCTCGTGAGTGGCGAGGTGCCGGATCATTACCGGAGGCTCTGCCCGTGCGGGTACCGGCACCTGGGCTTGGCAAACGGGAGACAAAGCAGTTGTGGAATTCTGACGTGCAAAAAGCAACGCGTAGGGACGGTAGTGTTGATGTTCGTATTGGCCACCTGTGAGGCTTCTTCTGGGGACTTTGTCTTATCTGGGACTACCAATCGATATCTAGGGGTGCCTACCATTTAATCACGGCGGGCAATTTTACCGCTGCTACTGACTTCTAATTGCGAGCGCCAAAGCACCTCCAGTAGCTTCAAAGCTGCGTAAATATATGTACAGTGGGCAGGGGCCGATCTAGCCTGGAGTTTTTTTGTTTTTTTTAGGTGGGGGGCAACTGTTCGTCGCCAGCTGGCTGGCGTGGGATCCGAGATACAGTGCATAGTGCCTCTCGCGAGTACCTAGTAGGGACACCATTCAAGCACCGAAATGCTTTTGAGTGTTCTATATACAGAATGCATGTTTACAAAGCTCGTAACATAAGATATTACTTCCAAGAGTCAAGTGGTCAGATGGAGTTTACTGCAAATGGTGATCAGGGTGACAAACGGTGAAACAGAGTGATCAGGCCGGACAAAGGATGATTCTAGTGGCTATGAAGCGTGGTGGCAGCTGCGGAGCGGCTGCGGCGGGCGGGTACACCGGTGAGCCGCGCTGCGGAACGAGATGAATGATGAGCCGGTTAGGAGTCAGGATGCAATGTCAAATTAAATGTTTGATACCGCACCATCAAAGTTAAAGCAGACGGTAAGTGGACGAAAGTTTATGAAGTTCTGGGAATGTTTTGGGGGTGGGGCCAAAACATACTCTAAGAGTTTTTTTTGGGGGGGGGCATGGCCCCGTGCCCCCCCCCCTCCCCTCCCCCAGGATCCGCTTATGCCAGTTGATATAAGTCGTACGCTGTGGCTGCTACACTGCCCACCAATTTACACCAGTTTAGAGCTGCGTGCTGACGGCAGTATATTTTTTGTGTATTGCATGCTGCAAACATCGCACAACAGTTTGTAGAATGTGTATTATTTTATCGGAAGACGGTGAAAATCGTCAAAACATTGGTCACAAGTTGCCGAGATTTTACCGACAGACTCACGGACCATCCTGTGCCACCCTGGTGTGGTTCCGTCGCCGCTGACCTAGCCTGTCGGCCACTCTCACATTACAGGGGACCAGTGCACCATTCTGTTCAAGCCTGCTGGCTGGTTCTCCAAGGAACTGCACAGGCTGGAGGGCTTCGTTGCCGACAAAAGGTAACTGCCCCAATCATTCCAGCGTACGTTTGTTTTCGTGCTTTCCAATGTTTGTTCTTCTCTTTATATGTTGATACCGTGCCGTGTTGTCCCGTCAGGTTTTTTATGTCTGCCGACATCTCTTCTCTTCCCCTGCTTATGTTAGCAATTAGGATCACATCGTTTTGTCACCTCATAGGTTTAATCGTTACGGATGGCGTTTGTTTTATCTTGACAGTACCCATACCTCTTAAAAAGAAAATCTTGTGCATTACTTATCGGCGCCAACAGGGGCAAAAAATCCGAAAATTCAGGTACCCTTTGTAATCCGACGTAGTTACCCAGTTTTCAATCGATGCCGACGAAACCGACGCAGATCGATATAATTATTTGAAATCGATGTATCGCGGCAGGATTCTAAAATTATAGGCGTATCCAGGAGATGCAGAACATGGTGATACTAAACTATCTTTAAACGAGTTGTTAAGTGATAGTATCCGCAGGAAATGGGACGAGGTTTTGCTTTCTTGTCAGAAAAGTACGTATAAACCAAAATTTGGCGACAGGAATTGCTGAGGTGCCTATTGGGATAGTTAAAAATTGCTGTCGGTGGGGTTTTGCGATGCACGCAGCCGCTGAGGCTGTACGTCGTTGCCTGCCTCCCTGCGAGGAAGGGCGTAGACATTATCAGGGGTTCTCCCTTTACTGACAGGAAGTGCGGGCACTATGGGGAATGAAACCGTACTCTTGGTGTCAACGGTTTCCGCGTACTTCCCCACTCCATCCCCTTAAACACCTGCGCCACGCTTCTCTGCTGTATTGTGATAACGGAGCTCCCGTTGCGGCTGTCCCTATCACTGGAAGCGTCAACTTGCCCTGTGGACGCAGGGCAACGGGTGTAATCTCGGGGAGATTGCCGTTTCGGCGTGATCGACAAATTTTATTGGTGGCCCTTCCAGTACCGTGTGCTGAAAGCGCGCTACCTGTAATTTGCGCCCGCGGATCCAACAGATTGCCTGGGAAAGATATGTATAAGAATTAAGCAATTTCAGCAGCCTGCTTGCAGGCTGTTTCAGCGAAACCAGCCGAAAAATAACTCACGGGTAGCGGTAATCTGCCCCCATGCCCGGGTAAATTTTAAGTGATAGAAACACTAGAACAATCCAGGTTTGTTCTCTCAAAATGAGACAATGGCTCCAACTGAAAACGTGCCTTGGCAATCAGAGCGTGTTCAAAAGAATTGCAAGTGCCAACTTTAGAACTATTTTGTTCAGCTAACCTCGCAGAAACCCGCACAGTGAGCGAGCTCTTGTCAAACAAAAAGGTGCCGAGTGAAATAGTACAGCATACCGCAATTTTGCACAATGTTATTTAACAACAATGTGTCAATGCCAATATCACGCTATGGGTTTGCTCGTGCGGAGCTCGAAAATCAGCTGAACTGCATTACGGCCGTGGCCGGCGGTTCACGACAGCCGGCCGCTGACAGAAACTTATGACCGCTCAACTTTGGCCGTTCGTTAGCGTAGAGCGCGCAAATTGCCTGGAAATCAGACTGAAAGTCTTGAAATTAGGTCTTCAGTCTGCCAGATGAAAAGTGCTGTAGGATAATTGGTTCTTTTTAACATCGCCGGCTCCTTCCAGCGCGAAAGTAGATAATTGCCGCTATCAGTAACGAATGGGGTGTTCTGCTAAGTATCCGTGTTAGGCTGTAGTCCTCAAGTTTGCCAACTGCATTGGTCTGTCAGGATCTAAAGTATGCTTGAAGACGTCTTTGTGCCTGAGTTGATCTTTCCTCGTAGCGCTGAGGATACTTTTTGGGATAGAGAACACCTGGTTGAATTAAAGACAATTGGGTGCAAAAATGTTGGCGCGACGTCAGAAATCATCCGTTTAAAGCGAAATGCGATCACTGGGGTACTGTTTCCCACTACTTGAATCCAAAATTTGAAAGCTAGCAAAACAGTTCTACAGCTAGGAATAATATTTGTAGTTTACCTACCGTGGCAGCATGTTCTTTAGCAACTTCGACTTAACAAACCGATTTATGGCCAATCATGTGAAAACACGATCGGCGACGGTTCTTCATTTTACAACACCGACGCTGGGTCTGACGTGGACGGTCCCGCGCACAGCTGTTGCTTCCGTGCCTCGTTTGCGATGACGGAAGCTCGGTGTGGTGCGTCAGCTGTGATTCGATGGCCGTTGAGATGAGTTGCTCTGTTGCAGCAAGGTCCGCCGCCGCTTCTTGTACGGCAAGTGGACAGACTTCCTGCGCAGCACGGACATGCAGTCCTACGAAGAATACGAGAAGCTCAACTCTGGCCAGATGAAGCAAGTGAAGCCCTCCAAGCTGCTCTGCCTCGCCTTCCCTTTCCAACATTATTTTCCATCCGAGACGTGGAACGACAGAACGCTTGAGATAACTAGGTTATCCTGTGGCCGTGGACTGCGTTGCTGAAGGTCTGGCGGCGAAAATCCGCCAAATGCCCACTTTGCTGATGAGTCATAAGTTTGTATGGGCGCTGTGTGACTAAGCAGTTGCGATGCCTCACAGCCCAAACGATCAATTATCCAAGTTTTATGTGCCGATTTTATGGAGCCAGTGATGAGTGACGCCGTCAAAGAGCGGCTGTGACCCGATGTCGCCTGACCTGACCTGCTGTTGTCCACAGGTCGGGTCAGAACGGCGAGGTCAGACCGGCGCCGGTCGGCCACCGCGGCGTACTTTCCAAGCTCAACAGCATCACCGCCACCACGTTCAAGGCCCCGCCGGAGAGGGAGGTAAGGATGGAGTGTCCGGCTGACCAGGGTCAGAGGGAGAGGGATGACGCGCCGAAGCAGCCAACCAGGGTCGGGTGCCGGGTCGGCGAGTCCCCAGGACAGGAGGGTGCGTCGCCCACCGATGCGGTGTCGCTAGCCCGCCGCAGGGGCATCAGGCCGTCCAGCCTTACGGCTACCCCTGAGGTTTTCTGTGCAACTGAGGGGTGTTAGCATTCTATGAGCACCGCCACCTGCACCGCTAGCCCGCCGTAAGTGCATCGGGCCGTCCGGCCCTACAGCTACTCCTGACGTTTTCTGTGCAACCGAGGGGCGTTAGCATTCTATGAGCACCGCCACCTGCTTCAGGTCGACCCATTTGTCACTCATGACGCACTACTGCCGCTCTCACCTGAATGCTCCATAATTGATGACGGCCGTCTTATCAATGCAATAGCAAGGGTTTGTGGTGTCTGTCGTAAATGCCCTGCGTGTGGAAAATACAGCATTGTAACTGATCATTTCCTTTTGACCTGCAGTCCACGAAGCTAGGAAAGCTGGCTGCGGGACAAAGCCTTTACTTGCGATGCCTTCTCGTTTGCGCGACAGTTAAAGCTCGGTGCAGTGCCCCGTCGTCATGTTTTTTACCTTTAAAAAGCCAGAGTTTCATCGGTGACTTCTGTTTGGGCTGCAAACTGCCCCGAGCGATCACTACGCTGTTCTGCAGATCACGCAAATTGTATCGATTTTGGCGGCAAGTTGAACGGGAAGGAGCCCTGAACGCGTCGTTAGGCGCTCTCCGTGCATGGATTATTCACGCCGCACGCACACATTGCCTAGGGGGGGGGGGGGGAGGAGTGCTTCTAAGGAGAGGGGCAGAGGGAGCAGGGTGCTTTTCCGCTCGATGAATCAGTTGTATGTTTGTTTTTTGTCGTTTGCTCGCGGTACTTTGGGCATGGAACAGATACACTAGCAGCCTTCTGAGGAGTTATACGTTGTTAACCTGAACACGAACATGATTTGCGTTATCCCATTGGTTGTCACTAGGTGGCGTTTTGCTATCGACCTAGCAATTGTATCACTCACCTGGGAACCAGAAAGTCAGAAACTCTTTGAAGTGTGGGCGAAGATTTTACCTTGTGTCTGATGTGGTGGCGACTTCTGATTTATCCAAACTAGGATGTACACTGAAAAACAACTGCTAATAGCTGGCAACCCATGATGTTTTTATTACCTGTTACCTTTCGTCACGACCTTGTTTCTGCGGTCAGGTAGGAACAGCTGGAATGAAATAGAAACTTATACACGGCACGAACACCATGTGCTGTAACAAAGCGTGACCAACGAAGTTTTCTGCAAACTATGTTGTGAAATTGTTAAAATCCCCTCAAGGCAAGGTTGGGTTTGCCTTCATCCGTTATAACATGTTCATTCACTCGATCTGTTTGCTTACAATGCCGAAAGGTGTGTGGAACTCAGCGAATAAAGGTTGTCATCGTTCACTTCTTCCCTGTCCTAGTGCCTATTACAAGAGCGGGGGTTGGATAGTATGCAGGGGCCGGTGCGCCTGCTGTGTGGACCCCTATTGTGCTGTGACCCTCGGCCGTGCCGTCTGAGCACCACTGGCGGGCTGTGGCGCCTGCTGTGTAGACGCCTGTTGTGGTGTGACTCTCAGCCGTGCCGTCTGAGCACCAGCGGCGGGCTGTGACGCCCGCTGTGTGGACCCCTACCGTGGTGTGACCCTCGGCCGTGCCGTCTGAGCACCAGCGGCGGGCTGTGACGCCTGCTGCAACGCTGCGCCTGTTCGTCGACAGCCGGGTCCGGAGGGCGACGGGGACGGCCCGGCCGAGCTGGGCGCCGACGGCGAGGTTCCCCGCTGCAGCTCGCTGTACTCGATCGACATCCCCAACAGCGTGACGCTGTGGGAGGCCGACCCGCGGCCGGCTCACTCGCGCAGATACTACAACTTCACCAGCTTCGCCATGGCGCTCAACCAGCCGGAGCCGGAGCTGCAGCTCTGCCGCACTGACTGCCGGTGGGTCGGCCTGGGGTCACGTTCCGACCCCCCCCCCCCCCCCCCGTTCACGGGCCTGCAGCTGTCGGCACTACCGCAACCAGTGCGCACAACGCGGGAAAATGGCACGGGCTCCGCGCACTAACTAGCTGTTATCGCTACGTTGATCGAGCTCGTTGTTTTTCGTGCATGTCATGACCATCACCAGATCACAATGTCTGGTCAAGTGGCTGAACGATGCCGACTAACTAGCTGTTACCGATACATCGATCGAGCTGATTGTTTTTCGTGCGTGTCATGACTATCACGATATCACGATATCTGGTCAAGTGACTGACCGATGTAGACCGAGTCCCAGTCTAAAGAGCCGCGGCGTCCTGTGGTGTGTGCCGCCGTGTGTGCCGCCGGGCCGGGATCGGTCAGTACAGCGTCGCTCCTGGTGTGACGCCAGGCTGCGACCCGACATCCGGGCGCTGGAGGAGGGCAACATCGACCTGGCCGCCGCCGAGAAGAACCGGCTGGAGGAGAAGCAGCGCGACGCCAGGAAAGCGCGCGGCAAACGCAAGGACGTCTGGCAAGCGCGGTGAGACGGCGACGACGACGGGTGGAGGGGAGGAGGCAATGCTGCTGGGCGCCGTTTGGTACTGGGGTTGAGTCGAGCGTCGGTCATTAGTCGGCATGCACTATCGTTGTATTCTGATCGGAAATATCGATATTGTGTGGCACATCTGGCCTATGTGTGGACTGCTTTTGCCATGTATGTTGCTAATGCTCGGCGCACTTCACCGGAATTGCAGCTCGGTTACTTCTCACTTTGAAGCCACCCGGCAACGGCAACATCGTTGCCACTATCGCTAGGCTGCCTCATGGCCGCGCTGCATCATCGTCTGCTGTCACGGCTTTCAGATACTTCAAGCGCTGCAGCAACCCCCACGTGAAGGTGGACGACTGGCTGTTCACCGACTCGTACTGGGACGAGCGGCACTCGTCCCAGCTGGACATCTTCTAGCGTCATCTCTGCAGTCTAGTGTGGTGCCGTTGCCGGGCGCGCCTGCCCCGCCGAGAGCGTATCGTGGCGCACAGATGGCGCCAGTATATGTCCCGACCTGCGGCGGCTGGTCAAGGCGCAGCCAACACAGGCCGGCGGGCGAGCGGCGGTCTCCGGCACCCCGGAGACCAGCGGGCCCGGACTGGCCTGCTGCAGTGCTCGCGCCAGGCTGAGCGGTCGGTCTCTGGCGCCTCGGGGACCGGGGCCGGCCCGCTGCAGTGCTCGCGCCAGGCTGAGCGGTCGGTCTCTGGCGCCTCGGGGACCAGGGCCGGCCCGCTGCAGTGCTCGCGCCAGGCTGAGCGGTCGGTCTCTGGCGCCTCGGGGACCAGGGCCGGCCCGCTGCAGTGCTCGCGCCAGGCTGAGCTGTCGGTCTCCGGCGCCCCGGGGACCAGGGCCGGCCCGCTGCAGTGCTCGCGCCAGGCTGAGCGGTCGGTCTCCGGCGCCCCGGGGACCAGGGCCGGCCCGCTGCAGTGCTCGCGTCAGGCTGAGCGGTCGGTCTCCGTGGCTGCGTGCGTAGCAGTCTGTGAGGCGTAGCCAGGCGGGGCAGGGACGGGACCAGCACGCCCCCGAGCTCGACTCGGAACAGCCCCGGCCGGCTCGTACTGCCGGCCGGGGCGCAGAGCCTGTCCGCGGAGCCTCTCCTCATGGTGTATCTGTATGAACGCCAGGTGGATGCACCGGAGAGAGGTCCAGGTGGCGTGGTAACTGTTACTGGATGGTGTCGGGCCGGAACGTTCGGGGTGCTTATCCCCGAATTTAGCTGTTATGCCCATGTGGTGCGATATTATGAAGTTGGAATTTTTAGCTTTGTGACTGAGTCGCAGATGAACAACGTGTTTTGACATTCGCGTCTTTGCTTTCATTTGGGTACTTATAAGTGACTGTATCTGCAACGTATCTTCGCTTGCGCGACTAAGATTGGTCACTGTATGACCCCCGTCGTAAACTGAAGGATGTTACCATTTTTTATTCTTTAGTTTTGTTTTGTATGCGTTACGGAGTTATCAAAGAAAACTGGAGCTTCTACTCGACATTAGATCACGGTACAGCCTCTGTTCCTATGACATCCGTTTTTGTGCGGGCGACTCTCCCAAAGGTCTGTGACCGTACTTTGAGTTCGCCGTTTGTTTGAAGGATAGACATCATATATGCATCATGCTGACTGCAATAAACGTGTATGCCATGCGCCTTTCGTGCCTTTCAATTCATGGGCGACAACACTAAACACTTCAACGGTCGTGGGCGCGGATTAAACTTCATAATAGCACGAATGGGGTGAAAAACGTGGCAATCACCCAGCCCCCTTCACCAACGTTCGTGATACAGATGCAGGCATGCAACCAGGGTTTCACCAAAAGGAGGGGCGAGATTCGTCAGCCCATCACCTTGGGCGGCCAGGCGGTTCCGCTTGGGGTCCTCGAAAATGTGTTATCGGATCTGGCCCGGTCTTGGCGCTCAGTGGCCGGATTCAGGGTGGACGGGTCCATGCGAAGATCCAGGGGCCATGAATGCTTTTGGAAACATTGAAAAAGCCAAGCATCATTGAACATTTTGCAACGAGACGTTTTAGTTCTATTCGGACCTGCACCAGCATGTACAAACAGTTCTTTCTTGATATTTACCGCTTTCTGCAGCAAAAATGACATTCTTCACAGGGGCATTGTTTGTGGGATAGCCTCCGCCTACGACACTTCTCTAACACACTACATATATTTTGATCTTTTTACTTTAAGCCCCTGGAAGATGTGATGTTCCCAGTATATAGGTTTACCTCTCTCAGAGACTTATGTACCACATCTTCGCCCTACACTCTCCAGGCCAATCAATTTCACATCGTACATAACTGAATATACATAGTGCAGAGTTGCAGGCCAAGTGAGTTAAATGTGAATGGATACAGGATCGCCTATTAATGCGCGTTCCGTCCTGATGATTGGTAAGTGGTCTTCCAAAAGAGTCGCGAGCGTGGTTATGATGGGCTACGGTGTACGTCTCGCGGCGTATTGGTAACCTCCACAGCCCCAGGCCGCTGGACACACGTCTTGCGTGCCCGCACTCACCCACTCACACACTCCGGTATTCTGATCCCGCTCCCCACGCGCCGGCGGCCCGACCCAGATGCAGGTCACGTGGCCCCGGCCAATATTTGTGCACCACGCAGGGCTGCGGTGCATCGCTCTGGTCGAGATGGCCCGGGCCTTTTGTTGATGCAACCCAAACATGACATCGGTGCCGCTGATCCACCCGTCTCATGGACTCCTTTATGCCGAACGACTTAGTCCCCGTGGTGGGCCACGAACCTAACATTGTTTTACTCTAATTTGAAACCCGAATTTCTTTGATACAGGGTTTCATGAGAAAACGAAGTCAGGTATTTTTTGGCGTGGCGCCGTTAGTTCAGATGATAGGGTCAGTTCAGCTACAAAATGAGGAACACTACGGAAGACGAAAGTTTGCCGGGGCGAATCTTTAAATTCATTCTGTGCTGAACACAAATTATTGCTAGCACTCCGAACCGACCATCCCATTACTGGAATGCACATTCAGCTGATCCCTTTTGTCTCAGTCTCTCATCCAGACAGCACGAAAAGACCTTTACCGTGGCATGCGACTACACGACTATGGGCCGCCCTGCGACCATGCTGACACTATCAAACCAAGAGCCAAGTGACCTTATTTGACGAGTCATATACGAGGACCCACCACCACGCGTTTTTCCACACCACAAATGTGGTCATAACTTCAGCGCCCTACCGAAATCCGGCTTCCGACACGTTGATGGGTGTGTTTGCGCGGCAATATAGTTTTTGCGAGCATTTGCGCGCCGCGCCTGCTGATTGGAAGAAAGGCGATGCCTGTTAACTGCCCATTTACTGCCTATTTTCGTCAAGAGATATTTCTTGTGATCTAGAAAGCAGTCAAGCATAGTCAAACTCGGATGGACGCGTGACATTTATCTGCACAATTGTAACGTTAGAGGACAGTTTGAGCGTCATCTGGAATCATGTGGCAAATGCGCCACAAATTTCTTAGCCGCGCTCTTTTGTGGCTGCGGGGATTTCAACGGGCTTGGACTAAATCAAACCTTCAGACTGCAGGGGAGAAGTAGTTTGTCGTGTGCGACAAAGGATGACCCCATTTAGCAATGAGTTGTCTTGCGCATTCAGGTCAGACTTATATTGTAGGCTGGCCAATCATCACTTTGTAAGGTCGAGGAAGAATTAGCCTCCGTGAAATTAAACTGACTTACATAGCACAACATACATCAATCCAACCGAAATTTACGCGCACGCGAGGTGCGTAGCAATAATATAACAAGAAGCACGCATGCGGTGGCACTGTTAATGCATACGTGAGTGCATTTTCTTCGCTAGTTATAACAAATTCATCTTCACCGCTATTTTTACAACGCATTGTATGGATTTATTTGAAGCATATTGCTCTTAGCCTTCATCTCATACGAGTATAGTCAATGTAAGTTGTTTGATATGGGTTCCTTTTAAGCATAATCAAGCATTGCTGAGCATAAAAGGTTATCATTTTGTTGATGGTTGTAACTGTGGATGCCATGACATGGTTGAATTAAGAAATGTTGTACGCCGCCGGAATTCACACCAAATGTTTCTCACGCCGCCCGCGAGTAGCGCACAAGTCGTAACTCGAATTAACACGGCACTGTTTTACATAGGGGCGCTGGGCCATATATCCAAGAGTAAGCGAGAAAATTTGAGTAAATTTTGTGATTTGTATGGATGGTTTGGTCACTAAGCCTCGTAAGTGGATCCGTTGATGTAGCCGGATGTTTACTGCGCCATAAACACAAAACATGCATGTTTTAGTTATAAACCATCGCGCCTGTCAACATAATAACATCCCTCTTCTCGCGAGAACAGGGATGAGCAGACGCGGCTTTTTATTACGCGTAATAAAAAGTCGTGTCTGCTTTCACCACCAAATAGAAATTGTAAGTGCTGAGAGGATGAACGATGCAGTAAAATGTATACGCCTTGGGCCATAAGGCGCGCAAAGGGTCAAACTGAGAGCTCAAAACGAGAAAGCTTCAAACGAGAGTTAAAACTGAAACTCTTTAAAGCACAGACAGGACCTAAGTCCATCAAACTAACCCCGTCCCGGTCCACCACAACCGAAAATATGTGTTGATGCCCATGGCTGCCATGGACGAGTAACTTCGGCGCTCTTAGGCGTCCTCAAGAGGGGTACCTATACTTTCCGATCAGTAGGGGCACGTTTATCCAGTGCCTTCCCCTCCCCCAGGTCCGCCTCTGCCTGTCTATGCTGCTTAAATCAAATATTATGTCAAGATGACCTAAAATTCAAAATATTAATTGTCTTCGTCAAAATAAAGTGGGTTAAGCACGCTGAAACAACGGGGGAGGTCGCTGAGCCCCCGGCCTGTCCCCCCCCCCCAATCATTTACAAAGATTGACACCCCTGCGTGGACCCAGCCTTTCCGTCCACGCCCAGCACCAAATGGCTGAAGAGGACTATCCGCGTAAGTGCGGACACTGCCGACATCTCGTGGATGCGTCATGAACTACGCAAATGAATTACAAAATATCGAGAGAAAAAACAAAAAGGGCACCAAACGCCCTAGGGCGCAGTGACCTCTAGGCCCGGTTTATACCTGGTCGAGGTCTGGTGGCTACGCCCGGACTTATTCAACTTTGTATACCTTCCGCTGGTTTTACGTCAGCAACGCACCACATGGGTGTTCGGACATGCAGCTTGTCTGAATGTTTCCAACGTTTATGATTCTTGGACATGGCTTCCCAGTTTAACAACAAAGTGGCCTGATATGACGACAGCCACAGGACTCACAGCCACCGGCGCAAACGCAAATGTGGCGCGGTCGCTGCAAATTACTGTGCCAATATTGGAATACGAGAAACTTAAGGTTCGTCGAGGGAAAAAAAAGCCCTTGCATCGGGCCACAAAAAAAGAAAACGAGAACCCAGCCAGATCCCACCGGCGTTCTGCAGCGGCATTTGCGGTAAAAGGTGCAGTACAGGTCCAGCTGGGCACAAAGTGGGCTACACCTGAGCAAACCGCAGCTTAATACGCTTCAAGCAGGGACACCCTGGCCCTGGCGCGGTCCAGGCCAGGCTGCGTCGCTTTGACAATCTTCCCAGACGGTGGCACAATAAATTGCTGGATGGGAGGTTTGTGTTGATCAGTTGAGGGCGTTGCATACTGCCAGCGCCATTGTTAATTGCATGGGTATCGTGTGGAGCAAGGCAGGCTTTGTGTTGATCAGTTGAGGGCGTTGCATACCGCCAGCGCCATTGTTGATTGCATGGGAATCATGTGGAGCAAGGCAGGCTTTGAGGATCAATTATTTCAAGGGGCGTTCGTCGTGGATCATGTTTTTGTATTCAAGCTCCAAAAGCATTGCATGCCTATCGAGACCGACGCAGCCAGGATATGAATTTGCGTAGGGTCTGCGTTATATGTGCCAGTGAATCTTTTTGAAAACTTTAAGAACATGTCGGTGCGAAGAAATCTGACATAACATCCATTCAAGCATGACCTTACTCCCAACCAGCAAACTGTAATCAAACGTCTTTGCAAACATGGCTGTGACTTCCTGCTTGGCGTCCCGAGCCGAAAATTGTTCAGAGAACTTGTGTCGTTAGGAAATGTACGCAGTTAAATTCTAAAAGCATTGAAGAGGTTCGCACTTCAATGCCTCGTGAAAACGGCTATTATCTTGCTTTTAGATTTACTTCATGTTACAGTATAGTTCCTCGCGATATGATGCGTGTCGGTTGTCGTCACTGTCTGTCTGGACATCACATTATCATTGAAAATATCACTGCGACGATCTCCACTCACCCATGACGTTGTCATGTATTGTCCTGTAAGCACATATCAAGACCACACACATGGAACATACGCAGCCACCCGACGAACCTCCGTTTCGAGCCAGTCTCAAACATGGCCGCCAGTTTACGGCATATTGCGTTACGCCAGCGCAGTGCAACCGAGCGAGCTCCAGTGTTGACTGCCAACACTGATGCCGCAGAGAGGCAAGCGTTCAGTGCCGCGCTCTGACCTCCGACCTGCGAGTGGGGCCTCGGGGGCTCCTCGGCTTGTTTCCGGAATAGCTTCTGAGCGGTTTGAGCTCAGTGCCTGCTATTTTTACACGCAGATATTTGAAGCTTC